CGTTTACGTTACCGTTTCTTTACCGTTTACGTTACCGTTTTTTACCGTTCCTTTACCGTTTTTTTACCGTTTTTTACCGTACCGTTTTTTTACCGTTTACGTCACCGTTTTTTACCGTTCTTTACCGTTTTTTACCGTACCGTTCTTTACCGTTTACGTTACCGTTTCTTTACCGTTTCTTTACCGTTTTTTACCGTACCGTTTTTTTACCGTTTACGTTACCGTTTTTTTACCGTTCTTTACCGTTTACGTTACCGTTTCTTTACCGTTCTTTACCGTTTACGTTACCGTTTCTTTACCGTTCTTTACCGTTTCTTTACCGTTTTTTATATTATCCATGATGTATATCATGCAAAATCTTGTCGCGGGGGCACAGTGTACGTGCTCATTAGTAATAAGAATATCATGTGTCGCATTCTTTTTCTTGCGCATCTAATTGTCGAATGCATACATCGCTTGCAAAATCTTGGTCGCGGGGGCATCATGTGTCGCATTCTAGTTCTTGCGCATCTAATTGTCGAATGCATACGTTTGCAGAATATTAGAGTTTGCAGCTGTGACTAAAAAATCACGCTGCGAAATGCGCGGGGCGGCGCGGGATCGATGCGACAGCACTAAAATGCTACATTGTGACGCATAAGAGAGAGACAGAAATCTTACTGTTGACCACAAATTGGTGTGTTAGCACAAAAATGCTACATTGTGATGCATAAGAGCGAGATCTTACATGAATATTTATGGACCATTGAAATAATTACCGTTCTTTACCGTTTTTACCGTTTCATACCGTTTACGTTACCGTTTCTTTACCGTTTTTTACCGTACCGTTTTTTTACCGTTTACGTTACCGTTTTTTACCGTACCGTTTTTTACGCGTAAATTATTTATGTTTTTACAGTGTATCGCAATCTCGTTGTACAGCCCGTATTTTAGGGCGAAGATATGCCTTGACGTCAACGTCTTTTAAGTACTTGGAGATTGGGATCAGCGTAGGACTGGTATCCACAGTGCAACTAGTCCTCGGCGACAATCGTGGCAATCAATTGGCCTTACACTCGGCAATTTGGGGAGGATTGATGGCAAAACGTGAAGATATTTTACAACTTTTGCAAACAACCGAGGTGTCATCCTCTTCGCTATGAATTCGCGATTTGGCGGTGGAATGGTGCACAATGTACGGCAAGAAACTTTTAAAACTCATATTATCCGGTAACTGCATGTACTTGCAACCAGCTACAGTGGAACATTTGTTTACTCTCGAGCATTGCATTGACCATATGTACTCATGGTTATATGAAAATACATACATTGTTAATACAAAATATAGAAATTAAATTAATAATTTAAATATAGAAATTTTGTAAAAATTCTTCGAGAGAAGAATATTACCGAAACGAATAATGCTATATCGACGATACGCAATAGCGGGGACTTTGACGGTGGTTCACTCATCGATTATGAGCTATTGGCATGTGCAATGAATGATATTATGTATGAAGTATTGAACAAATAATCTGTACATGTAACACTTTCAAAATATATAAATTGTAATCCCAAGATCTGCTGCTTATTTGTATTACTCCTTTTTTTCTCTATTTTCTCGATACACCACAAATAGTCTTAAAATGTTATTCGGTCTTTTTGCGGAGCGCAACGAGTGATGTGGAACATGCAAAATCTTGTCGCGGGGGCACAGTGTACGTGCTCATTAGTAATAAGAATATCATGTGTCATATTCTTTTTCTTGCGCATTTAATTGTCGAATGCATACGTTTGCAGAATATTAGAGTTTGCAGCTGTGACTAAAAAAATCACGCTGCGAAATGCGCGGGCGGCCCGGACGACGCGGATGGCGCGGGCGGTGCAAAACCGCCACAAAATCCGCCGCGGAAACCGCCGCGAAAAAAACCGCCGCGAAAAAAAACTGCCGCGGAAAAACCGTCGCGGAAACCGCCGCAGATCGGTAAAATGATCTATCGAAAGCAGATAGAAAAAATTATATAATATCGGTAATTACCGATCGTTGATATTATGTAAATATGCTGGTAAAAATTATGTAAATATGTTGGTAAAAAATTAAATATTGGTAAAAAATTAAATGTTGATATATAAGATCAATAATAAATTACCGATCGTCGGTACTATCGGTATTGTGTAATTATATGTTGGTAAAAATTATGTAATTAAATGTTATATAATATAGGTAAAAATTACCGACCGCCGATAACCTCGGTATGCCCCCCCCAATTACCGACTGCTGATAACCCCCCTCCCCACGGTGACGTCATACCCCCCCGTGACGTCATACCCCCCGTGACGTCATA